GCAGTTTGGGTGTGTGGGGGTGGTTCAGGACTGGGGCACGGGGTTGGGGTGGCTCTTACCTGGGGGGGGGGGGGAAGAGGAGGGGTCCCTGGTTCCCACCAGCATGTCCCTGCAACTTCTAGGCAGAGGGACCAGGGGGCTCCATCTGCTGCCTATACCCACAGGCGCCACCCCTGTAGCTCCCATTGGCAGCTGCGGAGCTGGCACTTTGGGGGGAGCAGCACACGGAGCCCCCCGACGGCCCTCCCCCCATGCACTCTAGGGGCATGTCAGTCAGAGCTGGGTAGGGAGCTTGCCAGCCTCGCCAACCCCCACCCCAGCACAGGTGGTGCCCAAGTCCAAGTTTTAGTCAAGGGTATACAGTAAAAGTCATGGACAGGTTGTGGGCCATGAATTTTTGTTTACTGACTGTGACCTGTCCATGACTTCACTAAAAATACCAATGACTAAAAAGTAGCCACAGTCATTTAACTATTACTATTTTGCAGGCATTTTTCCTCTCATTGAGTATCTCTCTTCAGATTCTTTTTTAACTTGAAAATCCTCAGGTTGAATCTCATTTCCTGTTAAATTTCCCCCGTTTGTTTTTTACCAGGGCGATTAATTGTGCTGTTAAACAACACTAGAATACCATTTCTTGTAAATATTTTTGGATGTTTACTACATTTTCAAATAGATTAATTTCAATTACAACACAGAATACAAAGTGTACAGAGCTCAATTATATTTTTTTATTACAAATATTTGCACTGTAAAAAATAAATTATTTTTCAATTCACTTCATACAAGTACTGTAGTGCAATCTCTATCATGAAAGTTGAACTTACAAATGTAGAATTATATACCAAAAAAAAAAACGCATTAAAAAATAAAACAATGTAAAACTTTAGAGCCTACAAGCCCATTCAGTCCCACTTCTTGGTCAGCCAATCACTCAGATAAACAAGGTTGGTTACAATTTGCAGAAGATAATGTTGCCTGCTTTTTGTTTACAGTGTCACCTGACAGTGAGAACAGGAGTGCTCATGACACTGTTGTACCTGGTGTTGCAAGGTATTTACATGCCAGATGTGCTAAAGATCCAGATTCCTTTCATGCTTCAAGCACCATTCCAGAGGACATGCTTCCATGCTGGTGATGGGTTCTGCTTGATAACAATCCAAAGCAGTGCGGAAGGACGCATGTTCATTTTCATCATCTGAGTCAGATGCCACCAGCAGAAGGCTGATTTTCTTTTTTGGTGGTTTGGGTTATGTAGTTTCTGCATCAGAGTGTTGCTCTTTTAAGACTTCTGAAAGCATACTCCACACCTCGTCCCTCTCAGATTTTGGACGGCACTTCAGATTCTTAAACCTTGGGTCAAGTGCTGTAGCTATTTTTAGAAATCTCACATAGGTACCAACTTTGTGTTTTATCAAATCTGCTGTGAAAGTGTGCTGAAAACAAACATGTGCTGGGTAATCATCCGAGACTGCTGTAACATGAAATATATGGCAGAATGCAGGTAAAACAAAGCAGGAGACATACAATTCCCCCCCCAAGGAGTACAGTCACAAATTTAATTGACACATTTTTTTAATGAACATCATCAGCATGGAAGCATGTTCTCTGGAATGGTGGCCGAAGCATGGAAGAGTGTATGAGGTGAATTGAAAAATACTATTTCTTTTATCATTTTTACAGTGCATATATTTGTAATAAAAAATAATAATATAAAGTGAGCACTTGTGCACTTTGTATTCTGGGTTGTAATTGAAATCAATACTGAAAACACAGAAAAACCATCCAAAAATATTTAAAACATTTCAATTGGTATTCTATTAAGTGTGATTAATGATGATTGATTTTTTTAATCACGATTAATTTTTTTGAATTAATCACATGAGTTAACTGTGATTGACAGCCCTATTTTTTACTCAGTGAATTAGGGGTTTATGAAAGATGATGGATATACAGACCTGAAAATTGAAGTTCTCTCCCTAGGAGTGGTAGGGGCATAAGGGAAAGTTGCAACTCCACAGGAGTGGTAGGAATAGGAGACTCAAGCTTATAGGGAGAAATAGTTGTTTAAGCAGGAGAAGGGGAAGGTATAGCTCAGTGGTTTGAGCATTGGCCTGCTAAAACCAGGGTTGTGAGTTCAATCCTTGAGAGGGCCATTTAGGGATCTGGGGCAAATATTGGGGATTGGTCCTGCTTTGAGCAGGGGGTTGGACTAGATGACCTCCTGAGGGCCCTTCCAACCCTGATATTCTATGATTCTAAGAATTCTATGATTCTAAGGATCCTGTAACAAAAAGTACTAATTTTCACTCCCAAGACAGAATAATTCTAGGATTCCATATGTGATTTTCCAATGTTTATATTCATCCATATACTTTATGAATCAAATTTTCTAGCATGTTAGCTTTATTGTACAGGTTGTGCTGGGGTGCCTCAGAGTTCCTCAAAAACAACTGTGACGGTGCACCCCATAAGGCTTTATGGAAATATGCTTATGAACGTATATATGACATAACTGGAACATGTTTTATGCTACATATGCCATGTAACATCTCTCTGTAAAGGTTATGATCTACTGAATCTATTCATCCTGTTCGTATGCATGTACCATTTTTGTATTCAACATTATAGATATTGGCTGTGTACTTGCTTGATTTTTAAATAGCCTTAGTAAAGCATTTGGTCAGCTTCTTGAGAAAGGAATGTGCAAATTAAGTGCCCAACCAAGAAACACTTAAACAATGGCTCTTAGAAGGCTCCAATCCACGTAAGAAGGCTTCCTGGAGACATTCAAGATAGCATGTGAACCATGGCTGCTACCTGTAAGTTCTGAGTCATGCATGGACATGTGACTTGCCCATGTGACTCCAAAATGCCATCTTATATCTGGGGTTCTACACAGGGGGGGACGGGTGTCCACCCAGAAGTGCAATCTATTTAAGCCCGTGAGAGACCCCTCCATTTTGTCTTCAGCTGGCTCAAGAGATAGCCTCTCCACCCCAAGGATACCTGAAAGAAACTGGAACAAAGGGCAGTAACTACAGTGGGTGTGAGTGATTGCTGGACCCAGACTAGGAGGAGACTAGTCTGTAAAAGCAAACTTACTGAAACTCCTCTGAGGGTGAGGTTTTATCTGTATTCAGTTTTCTTACTGTATTAGGCATAGACTTGTGGGTTTTATTTTATTTGGTAATTCACTTTGTTCTGTCTGTTACTCCTTGGAACCACTTAAATCCTACTTTCTGTATTTAATAAAATCACTTTTTACTTAATTAACCCTGAGTATGTATTAATACCTGGGGGGGGAGTGGGGAGGAACAGCTGTGCATCTCTCTAAGCATGTTACAGAGGGCGAACAATTTATGAGTTTACCCTGTATAAGCTTTATACAGGGTAAAACGGATTCATTTGGGGTTTGGACCCCATTGGGAGTTGAGCATCTGAGTGTTAAAGACAGGAACACTTCTCAAGCTGCTTTCAATTAAGCCTACAGCTGTTAGGGGACGTGGTTCAGACCTGAGTCTGGGTTTGCAGCAGGCTAGCGGGTCTGGCTCAAATCAGGCAGAGCCCTGAAGTCGCAAGCTGCCAGGGCTGGAAAGCAGGGGAAGTAGTAGTCTTGGCACATCAACCCCCTGGCAGCCACAAGGGGGTTTCTGCAATCCAACCCGTCACACCACCACCCTGGCTCTCACCCTATCCATTGCCCTAGAATTTTTCTCTTGTTCCTTTTTTCTTCTTGACATCTCCCTTCAGCTTCCCTACCCTTTACAAACCCCATCCCAACAGACTCAGCAGTTAGAAATGGAAAGGATCTGTTAGATCCATTCCCTGCCAATGCAACTTTCCGCAAGTTTTACGGTTTCTCATCCACACTTTTTGTCCATAGCCTTAATATACTGGCTTTAAAATTCTTGATCAGCCTCACCCTTTAACCTTATGTATTCCACCGCACCCCATATTCATGGTGCACTGGGCTATTCTTAATTCTCCTCTCCCTATCTATTTACTGATGATGGCAAAACCACTGGGAAGGCTCTCTAACCCCACAGTGACAGGCAGAGTATAAAAACCACAGAGAAATAATTATCTATCTGAACTCCTCCTGACTGATCATTTCAACCTTTGCAAATCTTGCTTAAGATTCCTTAAGTAATGAAACACCAAACAACACTGTATCCAAGCAATCACAATTATCTCATCTCCATAATATATTTTTTGGGGTAAAAATCTGGAATACTCTGTTCTATTTTTATGGGAGATGCCGTAACAGATAAAACTCCAATTATCTTTCAATATATATGTGAATCAAACATTTGTTTGTTGAGTATCTTCAGAGATTAGACACATTTTAGACTGGATGAAGTTCTCATAGAATCTATTTAGGCCTTGTTTATATCACAAGTCACAGCTGTTTAACCGAAAGTCCGATTTTTAAAAATCAATACAGTTAAAGCAGTGCAAGCCTGCATGCTCTAAACCTGGCTTATAAGGATTTAGTTTAATGAATTGATTTATGCCACTGAGGTGTCCACATAGGAGTTTGGACCACTTTAAATCAATTTTAAAAACACATCTTTAGTTAAATTGGTGCAATCTGTAATATACACAAAGCCTCAATTTTAGACCAAGTGGGAGAATTTGGTGCCACAACATGCATTTACACACTGTGCGTCCCACAACACTAGCCTTTCATATGTCCTGTATATGTATTAGAGCAACATACTGTTACACAAGCCCTCTCCTCAGAGACGAAGCAAAGGGAAACACAAATTCAACAACATCTTAAAAGACTAAGTCTGTTAACATAATGGTTGATAGAAATTATAAGTGTCAAAGGATATAGTAATTATTACCCGAAAGTAAGATTCAAAAAATTGGTTCAAGTGTATGAACAAATTCCTTCATCAAATTAAATGCAAAAACAAAAAAATCCATCTGTCTCATAACTGTAAGTAATTACTAAATAAAAAGCCAAATGTGCAAATACATACCTGAACGTAAAAAAAAAAAAAAAAGGCTTCAGGATCTTGACCCTCTGTACTCTTAAGACAGAGTAGAACTTTGTTTTTAAACCAATCTTCATCTGCATTTTAGCATTTTAATTTTAACCTAGGAAAAAAAATAATATGTCGTTATAGTCAAATATCTGGGGCATTTTAAGCAAAATAAAACAATTATCTACATGATAGTGGGCCCTATACTGTTCAAAGTACAATAACTCTTCCCTTCCCTAACATATGAACTTTTTAAAGGTAGAATTATTGTAGGACACATGTGACCAAAATTGAAATTACCTCCTCACAAATTCATTTTCATCTCGAACCATTCCCTCCACTATAAGCAGTTTTCCCTACTCTTAATTACTAAGATCTTTAAAATCTGTTCTTGTACCAGTCAGCTAACAGCCAGTTGGTGTTTCAGTCATTATGAGTTCCTTTGTCATTATATTGCTATGAACATTTCAGCTCAAAGTGCAGTTCTACTAAGAAAATGTGTATGACATTAGTTCCCTTTGCCCACTCAAACACACTGAAGGATCTGAGAATCAAACTAGGTTCTTTTCTTCTCATGTTACCACTAGTAAAAGATTCTGCCAAAGCAGGCCCTCAGTAACATCTGTGCAATCCCAGTGCCTTCAGTGGAATTGCACAAGTGTATTGCAATGTTGTACATAATTCTGCCGATGGTGTGCAAGCAGGAATAGAATTCAGCTCCCTCCCCTCTAGCTCCACAGAATGAATATAACTAGCAGATATACAAAGCAGTAAACACTATTTAAAATCAGCAGATATTGCTGAATTGCAAAAAGGGAGCAAATATGTGGCATAAGGAACCACCATATTTTTTAGGAACATTTTGGAGCAGAATCATATTTTAATATATTTAAATATGATATACTTAATCTATGCAGATCTTTAATATTAAACTGTAAAGTTTAATACTCAAGTTTAAGACATTTGTTTTGTGGTTTAAAATTCTTTATAAATATATATTCAGCTTAAATACAAGATTTGCTCACTTTAAATATAAATTAGTCACAACTTTAAAGAGCAATTCATAATACAAGTTATAATTTTATTTCTGTTAAAAGTACTAATTCATATTTTACAACGAATGTTACTATAAAGCACAAAAAAGTCAAAGTAATTAGTTATTTTAAAAACTAACAGGGGTATGCATCCCAAACTCTGGATGCCCCTTAGAACACTTAACATCCAGAATCATCAAAAATTCAGACCGCTTAAATCCACTGCCCCCACAAATCAATCTGGCCCCAAAACTTAATTACAAAAAAAAAACAAAAACAAAAAAAAAGACCCATTTAACCCTCATCTTCTCTCCACAAACACTTGAGGGTTTAAAAAAAACAAAACAAAACACTGCAGAGTATTCAGGTCTTTTACAAATCGTGGCACTGGAAGACCAGGGAGGCAGAGGGAGAGAAACACATGTTCCGAAGTTAAAAAGCCCTAAGGAAACCCTCCTTTCTACATGAAGGAACTGATTTGAGGGTCTGTGTTCACTACAACTACAGCAGTATGACACAAGGAGATGGGTGTGCTCCAAGTAACCTAGACTCAAACCATCCAGGGCTTTTTAAAACTATCATTTACCAACACCTTGAGTTCTAGTCTGAAGCTGACAGACACCTAGGATATCTTGTTATGTTATGTACTCCCAAAGTAAATATCCACATAAGCAGACTGCAGCATTCTAGACTAGCTTCAGTTGCTTGAATTGCAAGGTGGAGGCCCAATACATTTCAACAGTACTCAACTGAAGTTACAAAAGCAGGTCCACACACAAAATAAAGGTCACATATCCATACCAAGTACAGCTGACACATAGTTGCTACATAATCATCCACAAGCTGCTTTGAGTCTAATAAGACTCCAAAGTTGAAAAATGATTCATAAATAATAGCTGCATCCAATCAGAAATGCTAATATAATTCTAGCCAATTTTTCCAATTGCTTCCCCTATTCTACACTAAAATTATTTCTGCGTGATCTAGACTGATCCTCAGCTAGCTAGTCTTCATTCACATCATTCTCCATAGACAAATGGTCATCCATTCCACTACACCAGTGAGAACTAGCCATAATGTAATTATTCAACTGGGTATCCTCTGCCTACTGCAGACACTACAGCCCATATATTCTTACTAACACTTCTAAAGGGCTCATACTACAAAGAACTACCACTCTAGCAGCACTATTTCATGATCAAGTGTATCAAAAGTAGACTATATACATACATCTCTCTAATAAAATCAGCCTGGGCATGCCTTTAATACCCTACCCAGAAGAACACCAACTACCACCACTAGTGCAGTTTCTATTCCCACATCCAAATCTAAACCCAGACTGACCAGGGTTATGCCCAAATAAATCTGTTAGTCTTTAAGGTGCCACCAGACTCCTCGTTGTTTTTGTGGATACAGACTAACACAGCTACCCTTCTGATACTGGAAATATTGCTATTCTGCTTCACCGCCACCTTCTGTAAATTTTTTCATACATGGGAGATTCAATTGCACCCTGGGTGAGATTATCAAGGTCAAAACTTGATTTCCTTCCTATGTAGCAGTCCCAACTCCACTCTCAGATAAAGAGGAATTGACAATTTCCACTAACAAAGTACCCATTTCTCACTACTGAGTTTTATAAAACAGGGGGACAGGGCTGCAATAAGCAGGTGCCCCAACATTTCCAGGTGTTTAGTAAGTAACACTGGTCAAAATTCAATCAGAGAAGATTTGGTTTGTGAATATTAAAACACTGCTCTGCACCCTCAGATATGACCAGTTCCATGTGAAATCCCAGGGTTTTTTTATTTGCAACGTAACCAGAAAAATCCTCGCTAAGAAAAACTCAACTGGTCCCAGATGAAGACAGCTCACGTTTACCAAACTATCCACTTCCACTGTAGAATTTCGCTGAGAGAGACTTTGCAGTGTTGCCCTGGATTTGAGGGGTTTGTGGACTCCAGAATGTGATTAAACTAATTGCAACCATATTATGCACATTCAGCCACGGTGAATTAATAAAATAGAACCCATCGAGTTGAGGGTTAATTGGAATAAGCAAGCTTTTGAAGGCAAGGTCAAATGCTAGCTGTATGCTGGCAGGTTCTGTAATCAGAAGGGGGGAAAGGAGAGAAAAGTTATTAAAACTGAGACTGAAATAAAATAAGTGAACAAAAAGCCTTGAATCTGGACGCCTTCGATATAGAAAGTTTATTATGACTAAGTTGCTAGGAATGTTTGTTGATACATACAGTGATGAGCTGCCAAAATCTGAAGAACTGGTTCCTTCAGTCGCTCAGGGTCTTTGGCGGCACTTTGGGGGAGGGTCCTTCAGTGGCTCCGGGTCTTCGGTGGCACTGAAGTAACTGCTGCTGAAGACCCTGAGCGAATAAAGGGCCTGCTGCCGAAGTGCCACCGAAGACTCGGAGTGTCGCCAGGTGAGTCAGGAGCTCAGGTGGGCCGGCAAGACGGTCCTGCAGGTCGGATTTGGCCCGCAGGCCGGAGTTTGCCCACCCCATTTAACAAACGATTGTAAATCAGCTTCAAAATTTAACAACCGGTTCATGCGAACTGGCTCCAGCTCACCACTGGATACATAGTTTTCTGAAATGTGGAAAAGTGATGACCCAGTAGAGATCACTATGACCTATGTGTTTTGTAAAAGTTAGTTATAAAAGATTAGCTAATGTAATGTATTTTAGAGCAGTCCTATGGAGCTATCCAAGGAGAGACTTTTTTTCTGCCATCTTTACTCCTCGAGGTGGAAGCGAATGGCCATCATGGACCTGCTGTTAATTACTCAATAACATGCCAGAATTTAAGTAAATATTTGGGCTGTTCTAAACCTACTGCTTATGTCTGTGTATGCTTAAATCAAATAAACTGCAGTTTTAGACAAGAGCACACTTGTATCAATTACCATCAGATGGAATGGCTGTGTTCCACTGATTTATTCCTGACATCACCTCGAGTGAAACAGCGAAGTTACCACTGCTGTGGGTTCTGAAAACCTCAGATAACAACAGGTCTACAGTTAAGGCAAAGGAACTCTTGCCTGCACAGCCATGGATTAAGTGTTTTTAAATGATTTATATCATATGTGGCTGGTCTCCACTCAGGACTTCCAGTACTCACACTGTCTGTACTCCCTCATTTCATCCATCGCAAGATATCTGAAAACCAGGATGACATGCAAGGACAAAACTATAGGAGAAAGCATTTAGGAGCCTTCTATCACATATGCCATTGTCTGCACAACACATGCTCACAGAGCCCATGAAACCTATCCAGTTTCATCGATCTCCTTGAATGGACTATCAAATCATGTCCCTTTCCCGCAATGGAATAAAGGAAAACCCCAACCTCAAACCACAGGAGGTAATGGCTGTCCCATAAGGACATAAACATTACATCTCCAACCTCCAAACACTAGATCCAGAATGTGGCTAGTTATATTGCTATACATATAGAGCCAAAAACTATGTGGGATAATTCCCATAAATGTCTCAAACTCCTGGATCAGTCTAGATGAATTGTCATTTGGACAGATATTAAAATCTGTGAGCATCACCACTATTTGCCATCACTTCCAACACCATTTTAGTGAGGTATCTAAAATTCAGCTAAGGAATAATGCGGTGCAGTAGGGAAATCCATTCGACAACTCCAAGTAAAGACAAAGATCCTTGTGAGCCATGTCTATACCTAGCAAAGCTAATAAAACAGAGATTATGCATTTTAGCCTGTAACTATGATTTTCTTTTTGCTGTTTCCTTCCTGATCCTCCCACTACCCATCACCACAAAGCCTGAGGAACCCAAAGCCTGCAATGAGTTCCCCTCAACTTCCTATCAGATTCTCAGTGAATGATAGCATTGATACAAGAAGAAAAGGAGTACTTGTGGCACCTTAGAGACTAACCAATTTATTTGAGCATAAGTTTTCGTGAGCTACAGTTCACTTCATCGGATGCACACCCAGGATATATGTATCCTATTCAAATTTGTAATAGATGCATCCGATGAAGTGAGCTGTAGCTCACGAAAGCTTATGCTCAAATAAATTTGTTAGTCTCTAAGGT